AAGAAGAAGAAGAAGAAGAAGAAGAAGAAGAAGAAGAAGAAGAACCTACAGAGAGAATCAAAACAGTCTGATGAACCTTTGTCCTCATGCTTTAAGATCACGTTTTTACTCTTTAGTGTTTTTTTACTCGTCCTGCGGCGGCGGCGGCGGCGGAGGAGACGGTTCCTCCTGCAGCTCAGGGATCATTTGGTGGGATTGATGTAAACTGTGAAGTGGAAGCTGAGTGTTTGTCAGCAATCACAGTCTGACAGAACAGATGCGAGTCGGCGCCGCATCACCACGCCAAAGCAGAATCATTTTTCCTCGCCTCCCCCAAAGCTGCAAAAATCCACCCAATCACATCAAACGATGACTGATATCCATGACAACTAATTATTTCCATAATCAGATGATTCCCCGTCGGCGTTATCTCGCCCCCCCTTTCTCTGCGCGTCCATTTGTGCGAGCCTCCAAACGCTCTCTCCAGATTGGTCTGATCTAATTTCAGCGCCGGGCCGAGGAATCTGCTCCTCGTCACCACCTCGCCACGAGGAGGGGGAGCGGAATATGCTGCCCGTCGGTTTGGTTATTAAAGCTAATCAGATTCAACCCATCAGAGCGCACGCAGCGCCTCCTCGCCGGTGCAGAACACCACACACACGCCATCGAACACACACACGCCATCGAACACACACACACACACACACACACACACACACACACACACTCAGAAGGTTTCATGTTGTCATTAGCATGTACAGATAAGCTCACACACACTGACTGGAAAAAACGACCACTTCTGTTTTTTTTCGTCCTTTTCCGAACCGCTTTAACGCGCTCGCTCTCTCTCTGTTCGCACTTCTCTGAACGGTGCGGCGTCTTTATCTCTGTTACGGCGCTCCCTCAGGCGGCCTCGGGTTCTTGAGCTCGGCACGTTTAAACAGAAGACGACGAAGACAAACAAACACTGAGGAGCTGTTTCTGTTTACACTTTACGCTGGAGGAGAAATGAGGGAAGTGCAGAAAAAACTGCAGTTCCACGAGAGACCACTAGAGGCCGAGTCCGAAAACCAAGAAATCCCCATTAATACCAATAAAAAAGTACATTTTCACAGCAAAAGTACTGAAGACAAAAAAATGACTGAACACGCAGTAAAGGAGGTGAAACTTTTTACTTTTTTCCATCTTCAGTTTATAAAAAATTAAATCTTATGAAACGTTAAAATTGACCTAAATTTATCTCATTTTAAGATGTCTTAATGTAAAATATTTAATTTTCATGATTTTTTTTTCATTCTTGAAGGTAATTTTTTTATTTACATTGGGATGTACTGATCCGATATTTGGATCAGACATTGGCTCCGATATTGACAAATGAACTTGATCAGATATCTGATGAATGATGCCGATCCAGCGATCCGTTCCAGTCTTTTTTTCTTTTCATTAATATCATAAACAGAAACACAGCGATTCTGTTGGCTCCATATTCTCCGTCTGTCTCTCCTTTCACTCTAAATGTTTATAAGGAAGTCTGACTTCTTTTTGCTCTGTGCTGATGTGACATTTGTTATTTGTGAATAAATAATATGAAGTAAATTTATTTCTGTGTTAATTTGTTTCCTTTTTTCATTGTCAAGCCTGATGCCTTCACTCACAGGTAAACAGTTTATTCATTCAACAACAGTATTGGATCAGGATCAGATATCGGCGGAGACTCTCAGCCCGGGTATCAATATCAGATATCAATATAAAAAAAACTGGATCTGTGCGTCTCCAACTGAAAACTGAACTGTAAGTCTTACAATCTCTTGGTAATTCGTTTGAAGCTTCATCAGGTGAAAACTCTGCAGATCCTCACAGACCTCCAGGTTCAGAGACTTTAGGAGTCCTGAAGTGAAGGACTGTGGAGGATCTGAGTAAAACCTCCTCTTCATTAACCCGGCCTCAGCTCCGGGTGTGTTTCCTCAGACTTTAAAGTTTTGTTTTGTCGTGTTTTTATCATTTTTATCATTTTTGTAATTTTCCAAACTCTCTTCAGAGTCGGGATCAAACAGCTGCAGCGTTTTTGAGCCTCAGTTGTTGTGAGAAAAGACGAGCTGCGACCACGAGGGAGGCGACCGGAAAGGTCAGGACACGTTCGTTTTGTGTTCGTTCAGAGCCGGGACACGTTCAGGTGCTGCTCGCCGCCGCACGCCGACCTGAAGCAAGGCGCCGCTGAACCTGCGACCTTTACGCTTGTAGTTCGCTGCTCTTTTAACAACGTGGCAGGAGAGCGAGGAAACTGACTGAGCCTCACGGGCTACCGTAGTTTTCTTCTGTCTCTGTTTTAGGGAGAAACTGACGTGCAGGAAGGAGGCGGAGCGTCTGCAGGTTTGAAGAAAAGTCAAATTTAAGACTTTTTAAAAAACATTTTATATCCAAACTGGCAAAAAAGGACAAAAGACATGAAGAGAAATGAGAACAATTTAAACTTCATTTCTAAGTAACAGCAACACATTTTTAAGACCTTTCAAATTTGTATTTAAGACTTTTTAGGAAGTTTTAAGAGAATTTTAGACATTTTAAGGCCTTAAATTCAAATAATTGGATTTTAGAGGTTTTAAGACTTTTTAAGACCCTGCAGAAACCCTGAGGAAGGTCCAGGTGTGGAGTCAGAGGTTCGAATAAACTCAGATTAAGTGTGAAACTCGAGTGTCCTGTCAAAACTCGACAAATGATCGATTTCTGACATTTTCAGTGATTCTCACAGCTCTAAGTCTGGTCCTTTTATCATTATTGTCTTCTTTTAAGATGATTTATAAAACTTAATATTTCAGTCTTGACCATTTTAAACCAAAGACAGAAGAATAATTTATTTTTTATGTTTAAAACCTTTAATCTTGAACAAAACCAGAATTTAAACCCTGAATTTATCGCATCATCACGTCCTCAAAAACACGCTCTTCCTCTCAGACAAACGTCCTCATTCATTCATTCATCTTAAAGGGTTAATAATGTTTTCTTTTATAAAGTTGTACACAGACTCTCTGCTCCGTTACTTTATGAATCTAATATTGAAAATCTCTTTAATCGTCCTGCTGCAGCGTTTGGTCTCTTTAAAGAGATTCAGCGAGTCTCAGCTTCCCTCCCCGGCAGCTTTCTTCATCTTTGATAATCCAGGACACGTAACCTCAGGAGGCAGATTAAAATAGGATTATTATTACAGGGGCACACTTTCTCACGAGGGCGAGGCCCCTCATAACACCGCTGTTCTCCGTCTGACACCAACAGCTGCAGACACTCCTCTGTAAAACACACACGGGTACGAACGGCGAGCTCTGAAGGTGAAAACGATCACACGGCGCTGCTCTGAGGATGATCAAAGAGTCTTCTAAACACAGAGTATCAAACAAACACGAGCGCACAGTCTTTAGGAACTGATGCTGATCGGACCTGAAACCTCCAACAGAGGTGAATGAAGTCGATTCAAAGTCTGCGTGAAGTTAACAAACACCACGATGATCTCTCAGGTAGGGCTGAGCGATATGTCCTCAAATCAATATCACGATATATTGATCAGTTCACCTCAATAACTACTCCACAAGCTGCTCACCCCCTCCCACATTAACTTTGTCTACTTCAGCCGCTCCAACTTTTGAACCGTCCTCCATCTCCTCACCTGTCTCAAAAAATAAATACCGTATTTTTCGCACTATAAGGCGCACTTAAAATCCTTTCGGCTCGTTGGAGCGCTGCAGCTACCGTAGCCTCGTGGAGTTATTGAAAGAGTTAATAATATAATCCGGTGCGCTTCATGTATGAAAATAGACGCGTTCATTGATGGTGCGCTTTATAATCAGGTGTGAAAAATACTGTATTTATTTTTTGGGGCTGGGACGATATGCTTTTCTTCTGATTCGATTCTTCTACGATATTTTAAATCTCGATTTGATTTAAACTGCGATTCTCTGATACTGTCGATTTTCTGGATTTTTAATCTGCATTTTTAACTCCAGTGAAACAGTTGAATGATTATAATAATCTACTGACTATTACAGGAACCATTTTTCCCCTAAAAACACACATCACATGTAAGTCAGTTTATAAAGATTTATTCTAAAATTAAAAAAATCAAAAAAACGATTTTTGAACTAAGAAATTGATTTAAAAATTGTAAAACAAAAAATCGCGATACTTATGTGAATCGACCCCCCCAGAATATACCGATATGGGCAAATTGACGTTGGTTATTGTCGTAAATTTCTGTATCTGTAAATTTTGGGTTTATCGTCCAGCCCTACTTCTAAATACCGTTTCATCACTTTTCACACTCGATCAGCTGAGGAAGCTTCGTTAAACGCCCATCAACATGACTAACCCCGTTCACACACATTCACACTTCTAACCACGCCACCAGGAGAAATTTGGCGTTCAGCGTTTCACCCAAATACTCTTTGTCATGCAGGCTTTGGCTTCTGGGTTTGGACCACCAACCCAACAACTGTGCAACAACCCACGGGACCGCTAAACCACAGCTGCCCCCTAATTCTGTGTAAGCTGCTAACTTTTCCAAACCCTGATCCACTCCGTCTTTCAAACAAAGACGAAGAAGCAGAACGAACCCTACAGGGAGGCTGCTGTAACATCCGTGACCAACAGTGGCCTTCAAACACGAGATAATTTCATATTTTTATCAGAGAATAATCTCCTGAGTCTCTCTCTGGAGCTGAAGACTGCGAGGACTCACAGAAAAACAAGTGTTTTCACTTATCTGGACCTTTTCTAAACACTGTGTGGGCGTGCACAGACCGGACTCTGGGGAGCTAACTCCAACTAGACGACGTCATGTTGGACGGATACAGACGGAGAAGATTCCCCATGCTGCGACCCGACAGAAATAAATCACTTCATTAACACTTTTGTCTAAAGTGCCAAATCTGAGAGTCAAAGATGCAACTGTGTTTACACCAGCGCTGCGAAAAGATAAATTTGTCCTCCTCCAACAAAGTTCCCGATCCGAATCCCTGCTGGACTTTCTCCGTATCATCGATCTTATCGCTTCAGTGCGTGGGTGTGATTTCCTTGAAACACTGCAGACCTTGTCTAAGGGAACTCCTGGTTTCTCCCTCCAAACATTCATCCGGCGCTGTGTTTGTGGAGTGATCGTCGTGGTAACGCTGCATTGTTCTCAGTGTGAAAAACTCTGTTCTCATCTCGGAGTGTTCAGCCAAGTCAAAGCCTGAGCTCACACACAGGAAACCCGACACTCCCGGCCCTTCCTCGGCTCGGAGTGATGAAACACAAACTGCAGGAGTTCAGATGAGGAAGAGGAGGAGAGACAGACGCAGATAACCTCCGTCTAAACCTCCTCATGGGCCAAAGGTCTGCTCTGCCTCGCTAAAACTCCTCTTCCTGAGGATCTCCTGAGTTTGTTTTGGATTGAAGTCCAACTTCAGCTTTTCTAAAACACCTCCATGTTCTCCTCCTCCTCCTAACCCTCACTTTGCTCATTCTCAGAAACATCTGGAGATCCTCTAAAGGTGAACATCTTCTGATCAAACCTCAGTCTGGTTAAAGGAAGTCTCTCTGGACACGAACATGATCTGCTGCTCAGATATCATCTGTCCGTTATATCTACTGCTTATTATCCCATTAAGGTCTGCGGGAGGACGGAGTGAACCCTGGACAGATCCTGACACTAACAGACCTGCAGCCGGTTCACAGAGACCACTTAACCGGACCAGAACGCCTCTGGACTGTGGAGGACGGAGCTCCTGGAGGGAATAATGGAGGATTTGAACCAGGAACCTTCTGACAGCGAGGAAACCGCTCTAACCCTGCACCACCGTACTGATCTACAAGGACGTCAGTCTGATCAAAAAACTTCAACAGAGTCCTTAAAGGTCCGCTGATCCTGATCCACCTGATCCTGATCCACCTGATCCTGATCCACCTGATCTAACAGGATCAGCTTCATGTCAGAATAAGAGTCTGAATGTTTTTGAAGGAGGTTAAAGGTCACGTAAATGTGATGTCTTTAGAGTTTCAGCGCACAGATATTATTTTTATATTTATTTCATTTAATAAGAAATAAAAAAATATAAAATATAAAAATTTGAGATCATAAATTAGACAATTTCACTTAAATTCATTCATTAATCATCACAGATTATATATTTTTAAAGCCCTGAGAGGAACTTCAGGTTTGTGTCAGTTTTAGCGCCCCCTGTTGACGATGGAAACTGTCCAATCAGGGCATTATAATTTCAGCTGTAAAAATCCACCATCTTGTTGCAGACAGTCTTGTTTGATTTTGAATATCAAAAAACAACAACAGTTTGGATTCAGAAGTTCTCAGAAAAATTACTGACAGCAGCTTTAATCTGCAGCGATTCTGAAATTATTCTGATTTTCTCTGTGGGGAAGAAAAAAACTGCACAAAGTTTATCCTCTGAAAGCTGTCGGTCTCACGACAGGAGTGGATTTTAGAGAAGTTTCTCTTCATCGTGTCTTTTTCACAAACTTTATAAAAAAGTTGAAATAGTTCCTGTTTTAATAAAAACTGCTTCCAGTCGTAACTGGCGCCTGCCTCACTTTGCGGGGCATTCGAGGACTCCTGTAGTCCTGGAAGTGGTTCTTAAAGTCATAATCATGGAAATAAAACAAACAATGGCACACCATGAAATCAATACCCGTTATTACAGGGTCGGTTTCATCGATTTAAAGAAAACTGCACAGCTCAAACATCTGGATTCAAGTTTGTGAAAAAGACATAATCAAATCAAAACTTTCACTTCTGAAACTTCAGGGGTAGCTCGCTCTGCTGGAAACTTTCTCCATCTCCATATTTTCACTTTAGCAGCAGCAGCCGAATCATCACAACCTGAGGCGAGCTGGCGAACGAGGCGACCGCTCATCAGCTGCAGAGTCAAAACAATGACGTACCGTTTACGGGCTGATATCAAGTTTTTCTGATCATTAATCAAAGATCGTTAAACTCAAACACTGTCCATCCTCCTCTCCTTCTCTCCTCCACCTCTCCTCTCCTTCTCTCCTCCTCTCCTCCTCCTCTCCTCTCCTCGTGTTCTGCAGTGACCCACTTTGAGTCTGAAGCCTTGGACTGACCTGCTTTAGATAGAGGCTAGCTAATTATAACCAGCCTGTATTAATAAGGCTGGGGAATTGGTAAATATGAAACACACACCCGCCCCCCAGCACACCCCACACACACACACACTCACTCACAAAAACAAAAGAGAGGACAGACACACACACACACACTCTCAGACACACACACACACTCTCACAAACACCTCTTCCACACACACACACACACTCAGCCTATTTCCGCCGCCTCATAAACAAGCCTACACACCTCTGTAACATGACTCATCATGTACAGACCAGGATGTAATGAGTGACTCATGTTCATCACTTGTAACTGTTGCATGGGAACACGTGAACTCGTTACCATGGCGAGCTCAAAAACGTATCCCCACATATCCGGAAGGCGATGTCCGAAAAACAGACTGAGCGTCTCTCTGATCCCGATGTTTGATTTTCTCAGAGTTCAGATCGGAATAAATTTATAAAAAAGCATCTTCTTCTTCTTCTTCTTCCTCACATCGTTCACATCCTCTCTCTCTTTCTCTCTCTCTCTCTCTGTGGTCGAACGGCCCGCAGACGTCCACTCGCTCTCTGCGGTTTTATAACGGACTGAATTACACTTTAGAAAATCGGCCTTCAGTCGCTCGGAGAAGTGCCATGACTCAATTTTCATAAATATAAACTAAGTAGAAAAAAAATATTTCTGCGCTGCACTTTCTGCCTCTTCCTCCCACACTGCACCATGCTGAACCGCTCTGTTTACAGCAGAGATTTCCCAGCATTCCTCTGGTTTTATCAGGTCTATCAGCACCTTTTAAAAAGCCTCCAGCATGTAACAGTAACGCTGTAACAGAGATGCAGCTCTCTGCAGAGTCTGTCTGATTTCAGAGTAAAAGCCCTCAGTGTCAGACATTAAAAAGCTTCGTGTCGTTAAAACTCCATATTTTCACGTGTTTTAAAGAGCAGTCTGGGAAAAACAGGTGATTTTTACTTCTTTAATATGAAAAAAAGAGTTAAAATCCAAACTGAAACAGAAGGACTGACCCTTCAGAGGTACAGGAGTCAAATGACAGAAAACGCACATTTTTAAGAATGGACAGAAACTCTCTGTCGAGTTTTCCTTCGAGGTTTAAAGCTACCACGGCGAGTTCTGAGGTGGTGGTGATAAGAAATGGTTCTGATGGTTCTGTGTGAGACTTTAAAATCAAACATGATCTTCAGGAATTATACTGATTTTTTTAATAATTATTTTGAATGTCGGGGGAGGAGTCACCTGATGAATAAACTCTGCTAAAACAAACTTTTTTAAACCTCAGTGAAGGATACGAGTCACTGGAAACAGAAACTTGGATAATGGGACAAATACTGTGTCACTTTGACCACAGGGGGCGCCAGAATCTACAGAGACCAAAGATCCTCACTGGAGCTTTAAGTCTAAATTTGACAAATTCTGGGATAAGCTTAATAAAGTTAAGACGGTCAGTCTTCTACCGTGTTTGAAGCTATTTTGAATCTCATAACCCTGAGAAATTATCGTCTATGATTAACAGCTGACCGGAAATGTTGATCGTAACCTCGTTGGAGTAACATCCAATCATCTTTCTCTAACCGCAGACACACAGCTGCTTCACTTCAGATTAATTTAGTGGTAAGAACATGAAGAAATAATATTTTACAAATATGATAAAACTGGAAAGTTAGATCTAACTTTCCTGAGGCATTCTGGGAAGTCGGGAAATCTAACAGCTGATTGGCTTCTGCAGCAGGTTTGTTCCTCGGTTAAAATTTCAGATCAGGATCAGGTTTTAGTCGACGCCTACATAATAAATACAGTATACTCATTAGTGTGTGCTCTAATACCTGCCAACTAAGCATAAATCAGCCCCCCCAGTTGGGCCCCCCTGGTGGATAAAGTCTGGATACGCCCCTGTATGCAGGTATTTGTGTTACAGGATGTCACTTCTGTGTGTTCTGCCTGCTGTTGCTCTCCACACATCCTGTTTATAAAGACCTGCTCATCCAGGACTGCTCACTCTCAGACCACAAACTGGACCAGAACTCTTCCCAGACCCTCCGGTCCAGATTCTACAAGTTTCTGTAACTAGAAATCTCTTCACTATCAGCTCAATCTACTTTAACATGAAGGACCCAGAGTTAGAAAGTCACCAATGTCATCCTGATCCAACCTGAACCGGCCCACAGCCGGTACTGTGGGTCTGCACACACTTACAGGAAAGCCAAAGCTGCATTTATGGACCTAACTCAGCCGCATATTCTAATTATGTGTAATTAAACCCACGCTTCCCCTCAGCGTGTCATCCCACGTCCGAGAGGTGCAGGTGATATTCATGTGCGCTGATCTATCCCGGCATAATAAGCAGCCCGGGGCTCTGCCAGCCTCGTCTGACCCATCCGTGTCAACACCAATCTGGAAATCTGACAGAGGTCACGTCAGGCTCGCCCACCAGACACCCCCGCCCCCCGCTCGGGGAATCGTAACGCGATGGAGAAAACTCCTACAGCGGTGGGTGTTGGAGCGGAGTGTTCCTGTTCGACCCAAAATAATTTATTCTGCTGAAAAAAGTTCAGATCCTCCTTCAGAGTCATGCAGAAACTCAGCAGAAGATGCTAATTTTCACCGCTGAAGAAGAATCAAACTCGAACCCATGAGAGAGAAAACAGTGAAGTCAGAAGTGAGTAAAGAGCCGGCAGTGTTCGGCGTTTATTGCTGTTGTTTCTAATGTTGTTATTGCTGTAATCGCTGACTGCTGCTTCGCTGAGAGAAACCTGATGTCTCAGCAGGATGTCAGACTCATTGTTCTCCGCGACTATTTTCAGCTCTTGTGAATATGAAGCATCATTTAAGATCCAACAGCTCAGCCCCCCCCGAGTGCGCCGCTTCCTCCGCGCCGACGGCGTGATGAGCGTGTAAACTTCCAGTCCAAAGACGACCAAGAGAAAACACCACGAGTTACACGTGTGCGGATGGTTCCTGATTACTTCTTCATGTTTTGGATGTCACCGAGAACGCAGGAAGGAGTCTTCAGAGGACGAGCGACGCAGCGGTGACCTGAATCTCACGTGGAGAGCGGCGGCGTGTCGAACAGCGTGTGTTAAATCAAACAAGGAGGAACCTGGAGGCTTTTCTCAAAGTCAGGAGGGTTTAACCTCGTCTCCTCGAGGCTCCGTTTATAAGCAGCACTGTTTTTATTTTGGTATTTGGTTGGGGTTATATTATTCACCTAGGGATGGGCATTAAAACGATTTTATCGATATCGTTGCCATTAAAGATTCTGCTTATCAATTCAGTTCTTTAACGATTCCCTTATCAATGCTGTTATTTGATTTTAAAAAAGTAGACTTTAGGTTTTCAGTGTTAACTCAAAATTTTATTGAGTCTTTGATAACAGAAAAAGATGTGGCCTAAAAATAATTAAACGACAAACTATTCGTACAACATTTACGTGATTGGAATCAAGTCAAATCAAGGTGACCATATCCTAGAGCTCCAAAAAGAAGACACAGCTACTCCGGTTTAGATCGTTTCTGCCTACTTTTCGTACCATCCGCCATGTTTTTTTCCTCAAAGTCTCTGTTCTCCCTCACGTAGACTGCCTCTCACAAGACCGTTTTCCAAAGCACCAGGGAGAAAGGAGTCGTTAAGGGAATCATTAAAATGAAATGTCAACGATGTTGTTGGATTAAACCATTTGGAACCGGTTCCCAACAAGAACCGGTTCTTCATTCCCACCTCTAAGTTCACCTGATCATCTATCACTCCCATCACTCAGACTCCTGGTGGTCTTTATCCACCTTCTCACCACGTCACATGACCTCAAACCAAACAGACCCTGCAGTTCCTCAAGTGTCCACCTGAGACTGGACCACACACACACACAAGACTATCTCTGCCTCAGAAACCAACAGGTGACCTGACTGAGTCTTCTGTGATCCTCTAATTCTTCACCGGGGGGGGGGGTCCACATCGGCGTGATCCCTGAGGGTCTCATGGAGGCGTTTAAGACCTCTGAAGACCTCCAGGTTAGCGCCCAATAAGGTGGACTCTATAAGGATCCTGCAGGTCTGAGCTGGTCCAGTGAATGAAAACCAGCTGCAGCCTCATATAGGGTCTGTATGAAAGCGTGTTCGCGCCTCCCTCCCTCACTCCCTCACTCTCTCGCTTTAAATAGACGTGTTCTCGTTTATTTTTCCCAGCAGGACAAAAAAACGAGTTAATGACGGGCTGTAAACTTTCCCCTCATTCAAGTCACAACTTCGCTGACGTCTTATCAAACCGCAACGCTCCGACAACAACACAAACACAAACACACCGACACAAGACAAAAAAATGATCTGCTTCTGGGCGACAATATGGAAGAGTGTGTGTGTGTGTGTGTGTGTGTGTGTGTGTGTGTGTGTGTGCATATAAGATGTGTCTGCAGCTGAGAAACGGCGGGGTTTCCTCTGTGATGAGAGTCTTTGTTTTCACTCCTGTATGAAGACACAAACCCCCGACATGTCTGAATGATCCAATTAAAATCCAGCATCTTTCCTCGTCTGAGTGTGTGTGTGTGTCTGTTTTTTTAAAAGTGTGTGTCTGTTTTTAAAAGTGTGTGTCTGTTTTTAAAAGTGTGTGTGTGTTTTTAAAAGTGTGTGTGTGTGTGTTTTTTAAAGTGTGTGTTTTTAAAAGTGCTGAAACTGCACAGAAAGTTTGTCATGAAAATCGAGGTCGGTTCATCAAACTGTGTGCACATCTGTGTGTGTGTGTGTGTGTGTGTGTGTGTGTGTGTGTTCGTCTTTGCGGCTCTGCGGGTCAACAAAGGGGGATTTGGTATCGGGGGGTTTGTACATGTCGAGGCCGTTCACGATAAATAATAGATGCTCCTCCAACACAACATAACTGGATGAGTAAACAGTCCAATCTGTTGCTAAGGCCCCTGCGGACCCGCCAGGCCCAGAATAGGCTCCCCATGCTGGGGGATTGGAGGCTCAAATCCTGGGATCTGGTGTCCACAGGCCTGCAGGGGCGAGGCGGGGGGCTGCGGATCTCAAATCCTTCTCCTGTCCTGTTACTCTAACCTCACAGGCTTCGCAGCGAGGAACGAACCTCAGCGTTCCTCGCTGGAGCAGAAACAAAGTTCTGGAAAAGTCTCCGTGTTTGTCGTAAAAGTTGAGGAAACTGAGGGTCGAGTTTCCTCATAAATCCAGTCACTGATTTTTTTTTCTGAACACAGATCGGACAAATCCGAATAAAACGCAAAGACACAGAAATCCCTGCACATAGATCTGTAGTGACATAGATCAGCAGAGTGAAATCAGAGGTTCAGACTCAGAGTTTAGATTCTTCTGTTGTTTCTGTTATCAAACTGAGATTTTAAAACTTCCTTTCATAATAAAACGGTCTTCTATCTTTGAAAGGCTTTTATTGTGAAATAAGAAGATAGTTTGGTGTCGGCCTGTTAAAGCTTCTTGACTTTTCTTTAAAAACTTTTATTACATTTATTTGATTTTTCTCCTGTTATCTGTCTAAACTTCTCTCTCTCTCTCTCTATGGTCCTTTTTTTTCTTAGATTCAGTTCACTCTCTCTTAATTAATAACTTACATATTAGCCTATAAATCCTCATTAAAACACTCTCTCCTGTGTGTAAAGTCGTCTATAATCAATGCTGCAGACTCCTCCTGGTTTACACTGTTTATTAAAGTCTCTTTATTACATAATTTAATCTCTGTAAATTTATTAAAAATTGTTTAATTTGTATTTTCCTTAACTGACCTCTCCTTCTGTAAAACTCTGATATATTTTTACTGTAATATTAAAAAAAAAGCAGCAAATTTAACTTTATATGATAAAAAAGTTTTTCTGATTTTGATCCTAATTCTGACAAACGACAAACATTAAAGGCAGATTAATTAAATGTTGCTCAGATGCTGAATTATTAAACTTTATTTTTACTGTTTTTTATAGCAGACACTTTTAGCTAATAAAATGACTCTGCCTTTAATTGAAGGAGGCCTCTATTAGAAGTTTTACGGTTATATGGTGTTTCAAAAACAGTCGGAGCTCATCTGATAAATTTGTTTTATATTTATATATAAAAACTTAAATAAAAGTCGTTAGTTTGGATCTGGACTCGTCTCTCACAAACTAAAGGGGGTCACAGAAACCCAAGTGGTCCAGACTGAGTCCTGATCCGCTCTGAGCGTCAGATCCTGGTCTGACATTAAAGAGGAAAATCTGGAGATAAGGAGAGAGAACGGAGGAGGAGGAGGAGGAGGAGGAGGAGGAGGAGGAGGAGGAGGAGGAGGAGGAAGAGGAGGAGGAGGAGGGGGTGACCTCTGGGGGAAAAATATTCATCCCCCTCAGCAGAGAGAGTGAGGGGGGGAGGCTTTGTCTAACACACCCCCTCTGGTCCTCTGTTCTTTTGTTGGGAGGTTACACACACACACACACACACACACACACACACACACACACACACACACACACACACACACTGATACAGCAGCATGGCTCTGATCAGCTGTCTTCGCTCTGGAAGATGGCGTCCACGCTGTGAAACGGCGAGCGTTCACAGAGGGCGGCGAGGACAGACGAACATCTCTATCCTTCTTCCTTTCCGTCACACAGACGTATTAACGTGATATCTGATAATTGATCGGTCACTCCTGTGCGCACGCCAACATCAGCGTCTCCACACAGACGCTGAACGCCGTTTGAAATGACAGAAACGTCTTTACAGCTGATTTCCACGCAGTTTAGCTTCAGCCAATCACAGACGGGTGTGTTCTGTCATTGTTTTCTAGAAGAAGCTGATAAAGATTTAAGTGACACTCAATTCAATCAATTAAAAAACAACAAATCAATATTAATAATTGAAAACATGATGAGTAAATAATTTTTAATTTAACGGTTTAATAACGTTGACGGTCTGATCGGTGAAATAAGTTCATTTGTTTGTCATAAATTTAAAAAAAAAAACGTCATCCTGCCACAGAAACTGAGTTTGAATGGAGGTTTAAAGAGAGCCAATCAGAAGCCTCCGTACTGAAACGCTCCTCATCAGGGCGTCTGCGTAGAAAACCAAGCAGACATGGTGGCTACGCTAACAAAGATCCTCTCTCTCCCCTCACTGTGTGTGTGTGTGTGTGTGTGTGAGTGTGTGTGTGTGTGTGAGAGTGTGTGATGAAACCGGTGTGTATTGTTCACGGACCAAGGCTATTTCAGAGGCGGGGGCCCTTCCCGTCGTCCTCGCTGCATCGGCCCTTTTATCGCCTTCTTATCCATATTCATCGGCGCCCCGCTCTCCTCGCCTATCAGAGGACGGCGAGCTGTGAGCGGCGTCTCGCTCCGCCAATCGTAAGCCTCCCTTTGTGGGAAGATTCCCACCTCTCATCCCTTTCACCCCACCCTGTACAATGGCTGTTTTTTTACTTTGACGCAGTGGCTCAAAAAAAGGAAAAGAGGAAGAGGAGGAGAGGGCGGAGGAGGAGGAGGAGGAGGAGGAGGAGGAGGAGGAGAGTCGCAGCTCCGGCTGGAAGAGTCCTGCCAACCAACAGCGACTGCAAATCGATCGACAGCCTAGGAAACGGTTGCCGAGCGAGCGCCATCGATGGCAGCCCGCAATTGATGGAGGGGTGGGTGGAGGACAAAATGATGGGAGGACGAGGGTGAAGGAGGACAGAGGAGGGAGGAGGAGGAGGAGGAGGGTGCAGTCGTGATGGTCTGAAGGAGAGCATGATTAGTATGGATGAGGAGGGGAGGAAGATGGAGGGAACGGGGAGGAAAGAGGGGAGAGGGAGCCGACCAGAAACGGTCAAGCTCGCCATTTAACAAAACAGGCGTGTCGCAGAGGAGAACGCCGTGTTCTGTACAGCGAGGAGGAGGAGGAGGAGGAGGAGGAAGGCCAAAGGGGGAGACGAGCGTTATCCATCATAAAACAGCGCCTCCGATTCTCAAACTCTGATCTAACGCCACTCGCTCTGGCTCACGCCGTGGTCGTGTTTGTCGTATTTAGGTCTGAAACTCTCCGCCCACTCTTTCGTGCGTTTAAAGCCAAATTTAGGGCTTCTTCCTCTTCGGCCCGCACGGCCAATCAATGCGATGAAGACGACGGTTCGCTCTTCTTTGTGTGGACGACCCAAAAAAGCTGCTCCGCTCAGCTCCAGGAGGAGCAGGAGAGTCTGCGATCAATGAGCATCAAAGCCTCCCTACAGCCCAGGCTCAATACACACACACACTAACACACACACACACATGCACGAGTGTATGCATGTGTGTGTGTTGGACGTGTGCGCCTTCATTTTCCTAATTAGGCTTCATCTTGGCGTTCACAGATGAAGTCAGACAGAAATATAAAGGACACAAACAAACGCCGTCAAATCTTCTGGCAGACTCTCCTGATCATGTCACTTAGCAAGGGCATTTTAAGCCCCGCCCCCTCCTCCTCCTCCTGCTCCTCTGGCTGCCAGTTCGTCCATTTACTAAATTAATGTATTACATCTTTCAGACAGGAGAGGAGAGACGGGCAGAGGAGAAAAGAAAACCTCAAACCAATCCTAATGAGAGCGCCCAGAGCTCTCGGAGTCCAGGTCAGCAAACTTCTCGCTCACATGTTCGTTTTCTGACCACCTACATAAAAAAACAACATCTCATTTATTTTGTTTGTGCTTACATAACATTTCTTCATACCTTATACAAGCTGTTTTTCTTTTTCTCCTGAGAGCTGCATTTCTTTTCTAAAGGACTGACTCTGAGTCAGAGAGGCGGTTAAAGATCACTGAGACTTTCACTGGATCCTGATCGATTTAACGAGAATAATTATTTAAATTTAACAATAATAACAACTGAGAAACAAAAACATGAACATTTGATTAGATAATTGTTGATGTTAATTTATTCTACTCTGTCAAATCTTGGCGTAAAGAAAGTTTGGACGTCTGAACAGAAGTTTTAATTATTATCATAATTATTAAAAACGCGTCAGATCGGTCGATCACGAGTATGGCGTTACAAAAACATACAAATGTGGTTTATTTAGAGTTTATCCAGAGCTCAGAACACGTCTGTTTACCTGATTATCTTTAGTTACTGTTTTTACTTAAAGCTCCTGTCATAAACTTTCTGTCTGGGTCCACTTTGGTGCCCCCTTGTGGACAGAATCACCCCGTGAATATTGCTATTGTTCCTTAATAGATTAAAAAAAAAAACTGTCATTTTTTACAGACAAATGTCTCATGAATATAAATCTTTGACACATAACAAAATAAAACAAAATAAAATAAACGCATCAAGTTCATCCTGAAACACAGCGCCTCCTGGTGGTTTCAGCCTGCACAGAAATCGTCACTCGGCTCATTTTTGTTTTAGGTCATAAGAAAACTTTTATATTAATTTTAGTCTTTAAAACAGGAGCTCTACCTTCATTAAGTTGTTTTTATATTTTTGGATTTAATGATTTACTGGACTGGAGTCGTGGCGACCACAGTTACCATGGTGATAACTGGACGCTATGTCGTGACATCAGCTGTTAATTTCTAAAGCTGAGTTCAGGAGACTATCTTTTGGTTATTCGATAATTAGACGGCTACATCAATGATAGTTATTTTAGCGCTTGCCTAATATTCGGAAAGACAAGCGCTAAAATAACTTTCGTAGATGTCGCAGTCTTATCTCGGGCCTCCGATTTTGCTTTTTTCCGACTTGGTAACTGAAACGCCGGGAACTTAGTGAAACTCTGAGTTATTCAGTCTAAAACTGTTTTATTTTAAACCTCCTTATTTTGGTTCTAAAAACAGGATTTTTTAAATACATGTGGATCTGGTTTCTGGTGTTTCTGCAGGTTTTAGCATTTCAACATCAGCTTCATTCCTGAAGATCGGCGTTTGCCGACTCTCTGCGCTGCAGCAGGAGGAAAGTGGTCTGTCAGGTTTTTACATCGATGAATAATTCAGTTAATTTCTCACAGAACTAAACGAGTGTCTGTGCTCACCTCTGTCAGAAAGAATCTCGGTATCTCGAACACCTCGAACCATCTGGACGTCTGGTTGCTGTTTGAACTCTGACCTCGACACTGACCCCCTTTCTCCTGAAGCCTCGGTCGTATTTAAGTTTTTAATTTGGTAAATATTCAACTTTTTTTGTGTTTTATTTTCTAAAAATTTTTCGTGATTTTAGCGGTGGAAAAAAGTCCACCCTCTAAAAATACTGGACCCTGATTGGCTGACATGAAATCCTTGAATAATGAATTTACTCGCAGAGTTTGGGTCATTTATCCAATCACGGTGAAGTGTGGCTTTGAAACTGATCTAAGTTTGAACCCCTGATACCAAATCAAATATTAACAGCGGCTCATTAAAGCGCTCTGATCATATATGTACATGATTAAAGAGAAATCTGAATTCCTTTAATGCAGGAGGGGAACCCTGCTGGGTCAGGGAGAGGGGCAGCCAGAAAAATGGGGTTTGGGGTGAGGGGGATTAGAGGGCGGCGAGGAGGCGGCGGGGGGGAGGCAGGGGGGCGTGAACAGCAGCCACTCATTGATCTCTCTGTCTTTAAGACCTTCAGCGCTTTTGTGGGACGGAGCTGTGATTTATGAGCCTCGTGGTTACGGTGATCCGGTCGAATCAGACCTGCTGACTGACAACGCCAATGTGGCCGACTGATAAAACACACACACACACACACACACAGACAGCATAAACCTGCACACTAACCGAGCTCAACTCAGAAAGTAAAAAATAAAAGTTTGACTTTCCCGATCTTCTCAAACAGAAACCGCCTCAAATCCAGAACCTCCACCTTCATTTCTGTGATTTCTGCTTCCATGAACAAAAATATTCTCACTTCCAAACCCGTCATTAAAAACCCGACAGAATAATAATCCAGATTAATTCACCTGTGGGGGAAGAAAAGGGTTAAACGTCCATCACACTCACAGGAACGCTGCGGTCATAATAAACGACACTGTAATGCTTTGATGGCGTGACTAGCATGAGGTCAAAGGTCAGCAGGACTTGTCTCTGCAGTGATGTTTGATATCATGACAAAAGAAACGCTGAATTTGTATAAAAAGCATGAGAATGGATGTCAATGGAACTGGAAACAAACAGTATCTCTATCAGCATGCATTATCCTGGATATGAGGGTGTTACATGTTCATTTCACTCCCATGTAAATGTCAGAACTCCTCCCTAATGTTCTGCAGACTTTGGCCTTAAGAAAAGAGGTATATTGTTGTTCTTGTTGTTGTTTTATTTTATTATTTCTCACTGCTGAGTCAGTCCTGCGTTCAAGAAGGTTACAGTAAAGATTACAAAAACAGGAAGAAGATCAAAATCAAAGTCTGTCTTACCATGAGTCTCAGTTTCTTGGTGAGGGAATACAATGCCTTCAGTTTCAAAAAGGGGCTGCAGGAAGGCCACTACAGAGAGAGGAAGCACAGGGGTGGGGAGTGTGTGGCGTAAACTAATCATACAGAGAGACAACCATTGTTATGATCTCTTAACTTTGACTTCTATACTCTGCAGCCTGAGTGCATCTTAAAATATCTAAACAATAAAGAGACAAATATACAGCAAACTGGGTAAAAAAAAAAATCAGGCCCTGCAAAGTCATGACCGGCCAGGAGTTACAACAGTCTGTGCATCTTATTCTTAGCAAATTAAAAGAAGAATCAAAGCTAATATGAGGTGAAAATATCTGAAGCTGCTCATGTCATAATAATAATAATAATAATAATAATAATAAAGATCATTAAAGATTCAGAGAACAAAAACACAGTTTAAATGATTTTAACTCTCAGTGCAAAATATTTACAAAAAAAACCTGCAACCACACTCTGACCTTAGTTTCTCATGTTTAGGGGCTGTAGTGCAGAGAGAGAGAGAGAGAGAGAGAGACAGAGAGAGTGTGTGTAAGTGTGTGTGTGTGTGTGTGCCAGCGCCTCTACATTTTTAACTAAACCTCGTCCCTTCGGCAGCCCGACGCTGCCGGCTGAGGGGGTGTTGTTGGCCTGCAGCACGGTGACCATCCTCCCTGCCTGAGTACAGAGCTGGCTCGGCCGTGTGCTTCATCATCATCATCCTCATCATCATCTCAACCTTTTCATTTGTCTAAATGGACGAGCTGACTGACGGTCAGGCAGACGGGTGGGGGAGGAGGGTCCCCTGGGGGTGAGCGGTGGGTTTTTACATGCAGCAGGGGGAGAGTTTAGAGCCCTGAGTGCTGCAGTTAGCCTGACTGAACCCCCCCGTCAGTCGGACCGCTCTGTGGTGGGTGTGCAGGTGGAGCGACAGACTGTTAGAAATGACTGAACCTCTGCAGGTCACAGCGAGCACTGAACACTGAATCTGTAAACACTGATCCTGCAGGGTGAATAAATATCAGACATGTCCGAGAACCTTCATTTCTCTGATTAATCATGCAGCGAAATCTGATTTTCGGTGCAGATTTTATTGATTTAATTTTTTCATTTGCTCTCAGATTTTCGGGCGTTTAAAAATGTGCAAACATTCAAACACATATAATTATTCTGCTGGGTCTCAGTGGAGACTTGAACGTCCCACAGGAGTCTAAACACTGATTTAGAGACTCGTCTGGCCTGAAGGGGAATTCGTTTTAGCAACACTCATTTTTATTCGCTTTAAAAATAACCAAATTCAAACACAGTTAGAATAATATAACGGCTGCATTTAAACTTCATTTAAAGAGATTTTCTAATATATAATGTTTGATTTGATTTGACGTTTGGCTTTTTAAAATCTTGTTCAGTCTCACACACGAACACGTTTCTTTTTGTGTCTTTTTTTAATTAAAAATACATTTTAATTTTCACACTAACAGTCAGATTTAACAGTCTGCACTTCGCCTCTAACTGTCTAATATTTCAGCTGCTGCAGTGAATTAATTTCAGCGTGAATATAAACCTGAAGCTTCTCCTGAGCGCCCCACGCTCACGCTCACGCTGCTGTGTAAATAAGCCAGTTACAGGTGTAGTGTGTGTCCAGGTGTCCATGATGGGGTGCATGGCCAGGAGAGGCTGCTGCTGATGGTTGTAATGCCGGGTGATGGGCATGCTTGGCGCATGACAGCATGTAAACAGAAACCAAATATGGTGATTGCCATGGTGACAGATCCATATTTCATCCAACCAGAGAAGAATGAAGAAACATGATTGGACAGTTTAGTTGGTAAAGAGCCTCTTTTCCTGCAGAGCTGCAGGTTCTTCAAACAGCAAAGCAGAACAAAAATATCCAGGCACCGACATGCTGCAGTAACACAGAGACACAATCTGAGCTGCTCCACTTCCCCTCAGTCCCCCTGTCTGTCTGTCTGTCCCCCTGTCTGTCTGTTCGCCACAGGCCTGCTGTTATTAACGAGTCCGCTTGTTTATCCGCTTGTGTAATTGTACACAAAGCGGCGATGGTGGCTGATGTGTGAGATTATCACAAGGTCATCCGTCGTCGGGATGAGAGCCTGCGATCACGCACCAGCCCGATCTGGCTTTCACTTGTTTACATCCTGATTTTGGCTCCAGCATGGCCGCTGAAGGCTGCGCGTAAATCTGAAGACGCAATAAAAATAAAGAGAGAGAAGGAAAGAGCGGATTTGTGCTGATCTAAGGAGGAGAAAACAGGCAGGATGTGCCGAGAGGAGCCGGCGGCTCCCCTCCAAATCCCCCCTCAGCCCCTCTCATTGTTTCCTTCCATCAGCCGCGGCGGCCCGGGTTTCTTTTTAACGCCGAGAGAAAAACGACTGTCGCGAATCAGCGGAATAAACCCCCACCCGTTATTTCTAATCCTGCGTGATTTGATCAGAAACCCCGTCAAACTGTGTCTCTGCTGTGTCTCTGTGTCCTCAGAATCAGATCAACCTGCTCCCCTTTCTCTGCCCAGACCACATTCACCCGAACCCGAACAGCTCCCCGCATCCCCATCGCTGCTCCACTTACCTCCCGTGTTTGTGCGTTTGGTGCTGCTGGCCTCCGTGGGAGTCTCCAGGGGTCTTTTACGTGAGTCCGGGGGATCGGACTCCATGTGTGGTTGTTGATTGTGATGGTGAGGATTGGAGAAAATCCCGTTTTGCTGTACTGCTCCGCCGGCCATCATTTTCGAGCTTGCTGCTGTTGGATGCTTGAGCTGCGTTTGCGCTTAAATCCCCCCTTTCTCCCGTGTGTTTTTTACGCAGCGCAGCCGTGCAGATGAGTCTTTGGAGGAGGCGAGAGCGAGTTCGGAATCTGACAATACGCTCGTTTCTTACGGACGGAGGACGTTGAGCTGCGTGTGTCTCCGCGCGTACAGAGATGCTGCGCAGGGGGGAGAGAGAGAGAAGGAGACGCTGGATGATGATCGGAGGAGAAATCCAGATGGAGGTGATCTAGGCTACGAAAAAACCTGCGAACGGAGCGTCAATCTTCCATCAAGCTGAGGATATATGCGGGCTAGGATATGTGTGTCATTCCGCTGCAGAAAAGAGCGTACTCATGTCAGGAGGTGCAGGATGGTGGCGCTCCTCCGCAACAACGACAGCAGGAGCAGGAGCAGGAGGAGCAGCAGCAGGAGGAGCAGCAACCGAACAATAAATAAAGAAAAACTAAAGAGACAAAGAGGTGGAATCAGCCGGAGACACACAGAGGACAGCTCGATGGCGCATTAAGAAGAAGTAGAAAATAAAAATCCGATTTTCTGATCTCTTCTTCTTCTTCTTCTGTTTTTTTTTTTTCGGTCCTGGCTCCGAGAGTTGGAGACACCCGGGGGTGGGTGACGGTGGGTGAGGAGGGTGAGGGTCCGGAGCTGGAGCTGGAGAAAGAGACGGTTTTGTTCGTGCTCGTTGTCTCGGTGAAGATGCTGCAGTCCTGCGTTCAGAGCATCATCTGCGCGAGGCGGGAGCGCAGGGGAGCGGCTGACGTCACAGGGCCACGTGGTGCCTTCACGGACACCGCGGAAACTCGGGCTTCACAGAGTTTATCATGTAGCAGTGACAGATGTTCCTCTGTTGTTGAGCCTTTTTAACCTTCCTCCTGTTTTAGCTTTTACTTCACACCCTCCATGTTCTGACCCGAGTCTTAAATCAGCTGTTAATTAAAAACTCTTCTCTATCATCTAATTAAGTTCTCATCTCTCTACGTTCACACTGCAGGTCAATTCAGATTTTTTAACCATATCTGCTGTTTTCTGATTGGTTCTAATCCTCCCAGGCCTCTTCTGTATGTGGATATAAATCAGATATGTATCTGATGTGACTGCAGTGTGGACGCTCAGGTCGCGTTTATCCAACCTATACGTCATCAATATGCAACAAACGTCACCATTGTTTGACAAAACAAACAGGCGCGGAAAGTAATTTGTACTTTGTGCGCATGAGGGTCACTTCACCTGCAGTGTGAACGTAGCCCAGGTTACCTTATTCGGCTTCATTATCCATGAAAATATTGATTATCATAGTTTTTGTTGTGGTCCTCTGCCTCACACAGACATCTATACTGATTTGATCTCACACATCTAGACATGCCTGATGTTGTTTTTTTTGTGGAAAAACATGAAAAATAAGAATTTCCTAAATCTCCCATGATTGGAGGAGGATCTGTCAGTGCACTTTTGATTTTAGTTTTCCTCTGATTATTAGTTATTGATCTAACAGGGTCAACAGCGACCCTAACACAACAAGTGTCATAATTTTAATAAGAGCATTTTATAATCCAGTCAATTTAATTTTCTTATTTTTATTTTGTTGAGATGGAGGATCCCGACAGAGTCAAAAAGTCTTGATGCAAAAAAACTTTTTAAGTGTTTCTTTTAAACATTAAAATCAAAAACGGGTCGGTGCAGACACTAACACAGGAGGAGGGTTAGGGACGTTTCTCTGAGACTTTCACTGATCCTCAGTCTAACATAAGAGTGGGCGATATATCGATATGAGAAATAGGTATAGATATATCAGATTCTGGTGTTTCCCACACAGAAGAATGACACTCTTGTCTGTCCTCTAATATCGACCTCCAGACCGCACTAACTGTTGATCAGAGTCAAAACAACACACAACAAAGAGAAGTAAGACTGGATCGGCATCATTCATCAGATATCCGATCCAGTTAATTAGTCAATATCGGAGCCAATATCCGATCCAAATATCGGATCGGTGCACTCCTAGGGGAAATGTTTACAGAGAACAAGATCAGAAAGACGGATAATTAATCTCAAAATGATGTTTCAAACCTATTTTCTTAAACTGAGCTTAAACTTTATTTTGTTCTGTCTTTATAGATGTAAATGCCGCCCTTACTCAGGTTCTTTTGTTTGTTAGAGAGGAGAAGAAAATCTATAATTTGATTTTAATCGGTCATTTATAGATGTCAAACTGTTGATGCTTTTCTCAAATAAAAACATTTTTTTCAGAAAAAGATCGGTCTATTTTACTTTATGGGATAATCTTATTGAAGACATATTTTTCATGTAAATGTTCACCTTATGAAGCTCCAATTAAAACAAAGGTACTCCTGTGGTTATACAGTATTTATGTTTACATTTTACTGTCGGACAGTTTAAATAGAAATATTTGTGAAATGTCATATTTGTCTTTGACTGTGACTAAACATTTGCTCTCACTTTGCAACAACAATATCAGGATAAATATCATATATCGATATTCAGCCTTTTTTGGTCCATATCGCCCAGCCCTATTCTAACATATATTCACACTAATATAAGTAAACCTGAGCCTTTGAGTTTGAATTAAAGACACAGAGACACACAAGAGGACCAGTCTCTGCAGGATTTGATAAACATGTGTGCACATAGTAAAAGTAAAACCAGAACCGGGTCTCAGTCAGTGCCAACATAAAACCGCTGCAGAGTCATGGTTACCTCGAAAATAACACGTGTATTCTGTTTTTCCCACGTCCCGTGAAGGCATCACGAGGGAGAAAGCGATAAAATGGCAATGAGAGCCGCCTCCACTGAGACATGATTGGCCGAGGCTCCTTTTCTCCTGCGAACCGAACAGGACGCAGATATATTCGCCCGGCTGGGTCACATGACTCCGAGGGAAAGATGCGGCGGCGGGTTTTCTTTCCTCTACGGTCGCGGCCGATGCAATTATGGCCGTACGGGAGCCCTGAAGGTCCCTCTGCGGCTGTTTGGAGGTCTTCAGCTGTCTGACAGGGTCTGTCAGGGAGCCTCAAACACACCTGGAGGTCTGCAGGGGGGGGGGACCTGCTCTGGACTCAGGTTTTAATTCAATTATCAGACATCTGCAGGTCCATTCAACTACTGAGAGACTTTCAGGACAAAGTGAGAGAATTAGGAGATTTCTTACTAACCCAGAAGGCCTGAATGATTCCTCTCAAGTTAGAAAAGGTTCAAGATCATTTTCATTTCCAGTCTTTGGTTCCTGAAGCAGCGGACCACCTGCTGACCCTCGGTCCAGCCTGCAGGCCCGCTCAGACTCTACCTGCACCACAAACCCCCAAACTGACGTCTCAGGAGTTCAGCTCTGACACTGGAACCCGCTCGCTACCCCAGGAAGCATGAGCTGCCGGCCCGCCTCACCTGTCCCCTCTGCTGTGTGTGTCTGTGTGTGTGTGTGTCTGTGTGTGTCTGTGTGAGTGTGTGTTAGACTCACCTGTGTGTGCTGCTCCTGACATCTCTGCGTCGCTCCGCCTGGATCTGAAGAGGGATCCTCCAGCACTGTGAGCTGTCTGAGAGAGCTATACCCGCCTCAGTCTTTCCCTCTCTCTCTCACACACACACACACATACACACACACACATACACACACACTCACTCACACATTTGGCATATCCTCACACACACTCAAACAGACACGCAAATACAACCTACTGCCTCTCTGCTCTTCTGTCCAGTGCTGTACAGATGCGGTGCGCCCTCAGTGCCTCCTGTAGCTTGTAGTCAAGGTGACATTGTGCTGCCTGTGCACACACACACACACACACACACACACACACAAAGACACACACACAGAGGCACTGAGAGCAGCTATCTCACACTATTTCACATCGCCATGAGAAACGCACCGGTGAGCCAGGCTCCTGCTCTTGAAATACGTGGCAAATGTGAGGCAGATGAATCTGGAGCTGCAGTCTGAACCCGATTCTGCAGCACAGACGGACACACACACAGACGGACGGACACACACACACACAGACAGACACGCAGCGCTCCCAGGGACAAAGGGCCTGCACGCCCAGCCTAATTGTTTAAACCCTCTGCATGGCGTGTGTGTGTGTGTGTACGCCGGGTGCATGCGTTTCTACATTTGGAGCTCAGAGAGCGGAGTGTCCACGCGGCGGCGGCGGCCGCTGCTGCAGCTGCATATGGAAAAAGTGAAGTAGCCCCATAAAGCAGAGACCAGCGGCATTCTTCAGTTTTTATTAGGCTGGGCTCCACCAGCAGATGTTTGGCTGATGCTCTCAGAGATCCGGGTCTGCAGACTCCTGTTCGACTTCAGACACTGACCCCCAAACAGTTTTCAGAGCCGCTGTAAGTTCCCCTGAACAGAGTCTGGAGGAAGCAGAGTTACAGTAATAAGTCAGTTTTTCCCACTATGACATAATCGGCGCTCCTCATCATGTTGTCCAGAGTTCCACACAAGTTCGACTCCCATGGATGCAGTTAGGAAGAGCAGATTTTCCACTGAAGTTCATCTTGGAAGAAAGGTCTGGAATTCTAAATGACGTGACTGAGAGTGTTTGGTACGGACTCAAAAGAAAAGAAGAAGAAGAGGAGAGACTGGAGCCAGCTGGAGTGTCAGATCTCAGACCTCTAAGGTAGTAAAAGGTCCCTCAGAGGTGACCCTCGGCACCTGATGAGGAAAACATGCATGAACAGAAACAGGTAAACGGTGAGCTCGGATTAAAAGAGAAGAAGAAGAAGAGAACATTTGTTTTTTTATACTTTATCCTCTCATGACAGAATAAAAAAAACAGCATAAATCTTGAGGAATGAGTCGTCTCTCGGGGGGGAGGAGGAGGCGGACCCTCTCTCAGCAGGTGTGCCTGGCTCACACCTGTTCTCCCTGCAGGGTTCTGGACTGAACACACAGTTTTCTGCTGTTTCTCCAGCTCTGGGTCAAGGCTGCAGCAGCGAGATGG